AGAGAGAGAGAGAGAGAGAGAGAGAGAGAGAGAGAGAGAGAGAGAGAGAGAGAGAGGTTTTGGAATTGGATTTGAAGAGGTGAGTCACCAGCGAGATAACAAAGCAGTAATTGAAAAATGGTTGGAGATATGGAAAGAAAAAACAAAATTGGGGGACTAAAGATGGGGAATCCTCGATAGAAGGGAGTCTTGACAGGGGACGCTGGGCCTGTGTCCCGGCAAAAAAAATAAATAAATAAAAAATGATAGTGATAGAAGAATGTAGTTCAAAAACAGAAAAAGAACAGCAAAAAAAAATAGAAAGTGGAGAAGAGCGGGGAAAGGAAGGTGGGGGAGAAAGGAAAAAGAAAAAGAAAAGCTAAACGAAGAGAGGGAGTAGAGAGGGAAAAAGATTTCTGCTTTTGAAACGATTTTTTTCTCTTCTTTCACATTTACATGAATGAAATATTTATTTTCCATTTGGATTTGAAATTATTCAGAAAAAGAGTTGACGAGAAAGTACCTTTCTTTCCTGAATTTGAGTTGCTGCAACTCAATCCCTTAACTTCACTCCAATTCTCAAAATTTAAGTCTTTTATTTTCCCCTCCTCCATCTCCCTTTTTTTTTAAGAAAACACCAACTATAACAGCTAGAGATGATGATAAGAGCATACACTTCTATCTGTCTAACTGATGGCTCCGTTCCGTTGGTGAGGAGGAGCTTCACCTGGAGCATGGTCCCACTTGCAATGGGGATTGGATTAAGATCCTGAATCTGGGCGTGTTTTAGGCAGAGATGCAGAAAAGGAGTTCAATCTCGACTTTCTGCACTTGTCCACAAACGCGGCCAAATCAAGGCGCTCAATCCAATCCTCTTTGCTAGTGGGACCTCGCCCCTGCTGGAAACCGGGTCCGGCGTCCCCTCAGATTACGAAAAACAGAGTTGTTTGTGGAGATTGGTTAGCTTTGTCCTTTCTTCCCCTCTTTTTGTTTTTTTTTTCCTCCCCATATTTTCATAACTAACCTTCTTTTTTTTCTTTTTTCACTAAGACACCCACCAAGTTTGCTAGGAGTGATGATAAGAGCATACACTCCTAGCAGCTAATCTATTGGTGGGGAGAAGCACCTGCTGGAAATAGGTCCACCATCCAATGAGAATATCCTAGGACTTTGAAAAGTAGACATATTGTAAGTGAGCCTGGGTGCAAGTGGTGCCTGCTCTTATCAGCACCCCTAGCACTGGCCGGGGAAATCTTTCTCCCAAAAAAAAAAAAAAAAAGAAAAAAAAAAAAGAAAAAAAAAACCCGGGCCTGCCTCTTCTGTCCGCAGACTACCGCCAGATATAACATGACCATTCTAGCCTGCCTATGTTCTGAGTATAGTACTCTAATTAATTATGGAAAGGGGTAATTACTAATTATGGTGCAGTCAAGAAAACAGTTTGGAAATGCTGCATAGAACAAGACCGCCATGTGACCCTACTGGACCCAAAACCTAGCTTGTATACATTTGTCAATTTCAGGCCTTTTGCCTGAAGTGCATTTTCAAACTCAAAACCCTGACTGGGCTGTAGTGGCCCATACGTACGTTTCCTAAAATTGTGGCTTGTATACGGGCACGCCTTTAGGAAGTACTGGTGGTCTTAGCTTGTCTGTCCAAACCATTGCAAATCCACAATTGCCATGGTTGCTGAAGGAGGGCAAAAATCAGGAAAATCTTCAGGAGATCTCAACTGAGCACCAGGTTGGGTAACCATCCAATCATGGAAGATGAGATGATAATCTTTTTTGAAGGGGGCTACAGTACCCTCTCCCCCTGGCCATGGCACATGGCCCAAGTAGACCCCACCAGCCAGAACTTGGAGAATTTTTGAATTGCCCATTGAATGTCAGTTTTTTGTTGGAAAAGTGAAACCACCAGTACTTGGCCCAGCTATTGGCTGTGGAAAAGAATAGAGTAGAAACATTTGTAGTCGGATAAATTTGGGCGCTCCTGTAGTGACCCGTACATTTCCTAAAATCGTCACGGTGGCTTGTTAAACCACCAGTACTTCCCAGAGTCGTGCCCGTTAACGCGCCACGATTTTAGGAAACATACGGGCTACTACAGGAGCGCCCAAATTCATCTGACCAGAAACGTTTCTACTCGATTTTTTCCCGTGGCCAATAGCTGGGCCAAGTTCTGGTGGTTTAATGGCCACAACTTCAGGAAGTACTGGTGGTTTAAGGCTTGGATCCCACAAGGCACTTATAACAAAAAATCGAAAAAGCCCCTTGAAAAGGAGGGTCCTTGCCTTTCAGTCCGTAAAATCTTTTCCGAATCCCACAGGGCCGTCCTTCGAGGGCTATCACAAGAAGTCTGGTGAAAAGCGGTCGCGTGCCAGGGACATGTCGATTTCTATTGGTCCAATTCAATTCAAAAAGAAGTAAACAAACAACTTTCAGCCTGCCGGCTTTTTGGGATAAGGGTAGGGAGGTGGGTGCTTTTGGGAAACCGTTCCTGCTTCGCGGCCAGGGTCGCTGTTGTTGAGACACTTCGTCGTCAAAGAGTAGAAAACATAAGTTTTTTTTTTAGGGCCTCGAGGCCCCCGGTACCGTGTCGGGTCTCCCTTTCCCTTGATGTTTGAAAGTACTCCAAGCCTAAGTAACTTGGATTTTGTGTGAGAGCATTGAGCAGGAACCACTGTTTGACCAAATTGCTTGATTGTTTCAGAGATTTGCATTCCTTCCATCCTTTTCTGTTTTTCCTTTTTGTCTCCCTCTTTTTTTTTTTTTTTTTTTTTTTAAATTGTCAACGGCCTTGAGATATCATCCTTGAACTGACAGGCCCCAGGTAATTCAGAATTATTTTGCTTTTTTTTTTCATCTGATTACATCTGAATTCGAACTTGGGTCAGCGTTTCAAGAGTTCATTGGTTAGGAACTGAGCTAGGCCTGCTGGTCTCTTTTTCATATTTCACTAATGGCCCGGTTTTGCCAAAATCAGGGTGCGAAATACGGTCGGACAACATGTCCCACTGTGGGATAATAAGAGCAGCTGTGGGCTAATTTTTGGATGTTATTAGGTGGCTGTGTTGCCTAGTATTATGGAATAGTTTCCTCTGGAATAGGCTGTTTGTTTTTTCTTACGTAGATTCATTGCCGTACTTCGCACAGTTTTGGCTGATATGCTGTTTTGGTCTGCTCATCTGATAGCATCTGGATTTGAACTTGGGGTGACAGTTCATGATTATACCAACTTCATTGGTAATATTTATGGCAAAGTATTCCAATTGATTAAAGAAAGTCAAGTAGACTGCGCAGGGAGGAAAAAAAGAGAAAAAAAGTCAAGTAGACTGCTCAGGGGGAAAAAAAGAAAGAAAACAAGTCGAGGAGACTGCTCAGAAGTGGACAATTTGGTAATGTGGAGGTAATGCTGATGAGGCCGGACATCATTGTTCTTTCTCTCTTGGACATCGGGCCGCACTACAGGAACACTCCACATGTATTTGGATGCTTTCTTGACCAGATACATTCAAAATGTTGGACTTGTCCGAGTGCACCTGGCCCAAAAGGCATCCAGATGCATGTCGATGATTGTGTAGTGGAGTGAGGCCCATTACCCGTATTAAGCGCATGGCCTCGAATGGCACTGCAACCAACCACCAAATTTCCCCCAAAACCCCTCTTTTTCGGGAGACAAAACTCATCTACTGGAAATCATAAGAGAGGCCTGGGGCCATGTCCCACTCGTCAAGGTTTAGGGTAGGACCCCACAGGACGGCGGCAAACGGTTTCGGAAGTCGCAACTTCCAGCCAACTGCCCACCGCCAACAGAAACGATGAAACGTAGGGGACCCCACCGCCGCTGCGAAATGTTGCTCTGGAGTCAGTACCAGTTACCCAAAAAGGAAATTTCGGGGCATATTTCCTTTTTGGGAAAGGATGGGGCCACTGAGGGTATTCCAGGTCCGTTAGCGGTGGTTGTAATGGAAGGGTGGCTATGGATAGTGGGCGACCGTGCGGCATTTCCTGCGTGGCACCGATATGGAGGCGGGCGGCATACCTTCCCCAGT